CACACCCCGATGCGATGCGAGAGAGGCGGAGCTCAAGATGCGTGCTGCATGCGCTGCATCCTCGCCCTGCCTTTAGTCAGTCCAGAAAGCGTGGCGAAGGAGAACACGGTCCTGAGCTCAGTCTCGCACAGGTAGACGACGAAACAGGGAGACCCCCAAAAAAAAGTACGTGTGTGCGTGTGCGTGTGTTTTCTTTTTTGCGATGCGAAAACTGGGGGGGGGGGGGGGAATGGACATCACCTCACTTCCGCAGTGAATTGTCCCAAAGGTGGACAATACTTCATCTGAGTACCCCAAAGCAGACCTTAACTGAGATTTTCCGAATTCTTGCGTGGAGATCGAGTCCACCGCGTCTTCGGACGCGGCTTGCGTACCAACACGCTGAGTACCCCTTCGACGCCAAAGTCCACAGCCATGGGCCGGTGGATGGGCGACATCCATTTCGAAAACCAGATTGCAACCATGGCTGAAACCATTGTGCATTGGTATTTACCTTGGGGAATCCAATCATTCCAAAACTTCTGAACGGAGAATCACAACCATCCACAGCCCAAAAAACCACAAGACCTACCGCTCAAAAAAAGGACGCACATGGCTGTGGCTCAAAAAGAAGAGGTACCAGAATGGCACGTTGGGAAATGGAAACCAAAGACTAACACCTGCGGTTTGCCCCAGCTCTTTAATTTTCAGCCACACCCACATGATCCGCGCGCGCGCACACACACACACACACAGGCTTCCATTTTTTGGGTGCACCCAGGTAGGCTAAACCCAGCAGTGTCCCCAAAATGGGGAAATCAAGTCCACCCCTTTTGAGTGGGGACCCGGGTAGGCCCAAAACAAAAAAGGATCCGAGACGCGTCCTTCCTCCCGCGGGTCCGCGGCCCGTTGCGAGACGAGGCGCCGGATGGCGGCCAGGCCGGTGCGCAGCCAGGCCAGCAGCGTGCGCTCGTTGGCGAGGTCCGTGCTGATCTGCTTGGGGTCCCCGGGCTCGGCCACGCCTCTCGAGAACTGCCAAAAGGCCGAGGCATCCACCCAAATGGATCGGGCGGGCCAGGGGGTCTCAGGAGAACGCCTATGCGGCCAAGGCCAAGGCATCTACCGCGGATCGGGAGATCTGGGGGTCTCAAGGTGAACTGGGGATCTCGGGCCGCCGCTTGGCGGGGGGACTTGGAACTCGACTGGCAGAAACTTCGAGCGAAGTTGAGAGCTGATGGTCCTGATGACTCGAAGAACTTGGGGGGTAGGGGGGAGATGTAGGGGTCCTTAGATTCGTAAGGTCCTGAGAATTAAAACAACACTAGACACGATTCTGTTCTCTACAGGAAAACCAACATGGCAGGTCCTTCAAGCGATCGAAATCGGTTGCAACGACGGACAAGCCCAGGCCCCAGCAGTCCGAACTCCAGGCTAAAGCCTTTCAAGACCTTGACCAAACCAATAAAGCCAGCAGCCGTTCTTCACTCGACTGGGATTCGGCCAGTGGAAAAGAGCAACTTGCCACCCTTTCGGAAGGCCGACGGCAGCTGTTCGCTCTTCACCAGCAGCTGTTTCTCTCAAATGAGGACCGGAGCCCAAAGAACGGCAGCTTCCTCTTGGCTTCCTCTTGGCTTGCCTTCAAGCGGTTTTCCTCCAAAACAAACGTGACGGTCACCAAACTCTTCGTTTGGAGTCGCTCTGAGGCGTCCACAGCAATTCTGCGTATCCGCAGCGGCCGCCGCCGGTGCCGTGCCGCCGGCCGAGGCCGGGGCCGCAGGGGCAACGCCCGGTGCCGGGAAGGGGCTGGCGCAGCTCCGTTGAGCAGAGAACGGCCAAGCTGAGTGTTTCACGGAATAGCTGGACCCCCTGGACCCCCTGTTGGTTGCTATAAGGGAAACCAAAAGGAAACCCATTCAGGGCAACCACTGTCTTAAGAAGCCGCAAGACTTGAGGCAAGCTTCAGCACAGCTGGCAGTGCAATATCAGGCCTCTTGCCCATCGGTAGCACCAGCCGCAGCCGACTGCCGTCCTGTCCACGCGCTCTTGGGCTGAAACAAGCGATTCAGACGAACTGACGCACCATCAGCAAGATCGCCTAGTTCAGATGGAAGTGCTTCGACTGAACGTGAAGCTCAAAACTTGGCAATGACAACGCTTAAAGAATGCCTTGGACATGTGAAACGCCTCTATGATCTGGAAGTGATAGGAAGAATTCGGGTAATCCTGCAAGACATTTCAACCACCACGCAGAAGGCACCAACCTTTAGAGCCACACATTTAAAAACATGAGCCCAAACCAATTAGACCTGCAATCACAAAGGGGGGGTATTAATGATTATCTTACATGTGGAATTTATATTGCTTGCATCCGTTGGTGGACATCATATACCTTTGGTAAACATCATTCATATCTGTGAACCCGTGTTGAGCTTCCAAATAATACTATTTTCCATGCGAGCCACGCTCCCCCAATGAGACTGGATATTGGCGAGTAAAACACATCTCCCAGACTTGATGAGTGCACCCAATGTCCCCTTTGCAATAGATGACAATGAATTTTGATAGTGCATATGAATATGTGGCAAAAAAAAAAATGTCCATGTAGTGTCTTTTAAACCGAGGTGAAAAGGGTACTCTCAAAAAAGACACGTCCATGTGGATATGTCCTACAATGTCACCCCAACCTCCGAATCCTCTCAATCCCTCTCCCCGTCTCCGGCAGCGCCGGAGACAAAGGCAGCGCAGGGCCCGTCTTTCGACTCTCCTGGCGCTTGCGACGGGCGAGTCGCTTGCAGCGCATGCCGTTCTCCTGATTGAATCTAGCTAAAACCCAAAAGAAACCAACCGCCTAATCTCGAGAAAAGCCCATTCAGGCAAATGTCAAACATAGAAGACACGGGAAAAGATGGATTTCTTGTTGGTGTCCATTCAAACCAAGCGAAAAGGGGATGTCTTCCCCAACAAAACCTGGCAAAATTGGGGCCTGGTCCCTGTTCCTTCCGGGGAGTTGGGGTGAACCCCCATATCCTACACTAATAAGTGATCAATAAATTTGTCAGTGACTCATGCGTTTCTCTCACCGATATCATGCGTGGATCCCAGAGGTTTCAGTGGAGCTAACGCAAACACACTGGCGTCAGTGGGGTTAGTGAAACCACCTTAAAGTTTATGCCTTGCTCCTGGCTGCTATGGGCATTCCCCCTTTCCGCCAATGGTTCGTGACTGTTGCCAAGTGCACCCCCTTTGCGCAACTGTTGACCCAAACTATTCCGAGTGCCAAACCCAGTTCTCCTGCCACATTCTGCAACATGGTCTCAAAACGGCGAGGCCCCCGTTGCTTGGCGTTGCCAAGCAGAAAGGACCAAAAACCAAGCGTCCCCGGTTCTGGCGCACCTCCAAACAAGAGCTCTACCCAGACCCATGCTTCAAGAACTAAGACGCCGGAGATCCGCAGCCATTTGGGTCTGGCTCAAAATTGAACAGGAGGGGCAAACCGCAGGTTTTGGTCCATGTTTCTACTTACCGATCGGGTTCCATTTTGGAATTCCGGTTTTTTGAGCCGCAGCCGTGTATGGCGAGAATTTTCCCTTCACCTTCCACCCGACTCGGCTTCGGTTTTGATCGCACGCTCAGCTGCCCCCCAGGCTTCAGCTCGCCCCGCCTCGGTGAGGTAGAAGGGAACGGAGGGCACTAGCCCCAGCCGATCCCTGGACTGGCGAGGGCCAAGAAAAAAAATCGCCGAACGTGTTGGCAACGTGAAGCCCTCAAAAGCTCCAAGAACTATGAAGTCCAACTGGAGAAGTTAACCAAACATTTTGCTTGGCAGCATGAAGTCCAACAATCCAACTATGAAGTGCAACTGGAGAAGTTAACCAAACATTTTGCTTGGCAACATGAAGTCCAACAATGCAACTATGAAGTCCAACTGGAGAAGTTAACCAAACATTTTGCTTGGCAACATGAAGTCCAACAATCCAACTATGAAGTGCAACTGGAGAAGTTAACCAAACATTTTGTTTGGCAACATGAAGTCCAACAATGCAACTATGAAGTCCAACTGGAGAAGTTAACCAAACATTTTGCTTGGCAACATGAAGTCCAACAATGCAACTATGAAGTTCAACTGGAGATGGATGAGAGGGAAAGTGGCTGCCATGTGACAGAGTCGCCCCTGTTGCCAGTGGAAAGTTTGGTCTTCCATGTCGTTTGGTGTATAAAGTCATATGTTTCATCCAAAATGTGAGACATGTTTTTTGCTCACGTAGCCCCCGCCCCGAAAACCGCAAGAGAGCTCTTTCGGGGCTCGTTCACATATCGGAGAATGCGGGCAAAGCCGTGCACGAGAATGATGGAGGGCCGACCGAAAAGCACATCTAACAAGGCCATTCGCACGGTTGCGAATGCGATTTTCCTGATTTCTGCTGTGCAAACATGGCATCAATGCGACCTCTCATCAGGGGACCAACTGTGAGAAGCGTCCCATCAGTGCCTGAGGATCGACGCGGGTGAAAGGCGCTTTGCTCGAGTCCCCCAATAAGTGCATTGATTGGCTCAAAGGCACAGCAGAAAATGAGTCATCTTCAAAAAACGCTCAGGACAATTTCCCGGGCCGAAAACTGTACCAGATCCGGTAAAGATATTCTCTAACTGGTGACGAAAATAGAAATTGCCCCCTGCAATACTTAAGTGCTTTTGAGAATCAAAGTAATTCCTAGAACTTTCTGAGAGATGAATTCGAACATGTCACCGAAGTACTTTGAGAAACCCTGAAATTCTTGCTGGTGCTCAGTAGGCCCTGAAATTCTTGCTGGTGCTCAGTAGGGAATGGGAAACCCTGAAATTCTTGCTGGTGCTCAGTAGGGAATGAGGGAGTGCACCCAGGCTTTGGTCCCCTTAAAGGAAACCACAAGAGATGGTTTATAGGGGTCATTCCACTATTCATTCCCTGCCTATCGCACCAGCAAGAATGGTAACCACCCCACTGGATCGCCTTACGCAGCAGCTAAGATCTGCCGCACTCAGCTCCGGCAGGACTGACCTCGTGACGCGTTCCAAACCAAACGGGTGAAACTCGCGCTCAACGACTTGCCCTAGACAAACAAAAGGCGATGATTCGACGGTGGACAAAATCCTCTTCGCACCACGTAACAAACCCTTGAATGGTTCAATTCCACGGAAATACCAACAAACCATGGTCTCAACCATGGCTACCACCGTTCAGAAACCCCTGAATGATTCAATTCCCCAACGTTTAAAAAAAGGGGGGGAAAAACACATGGTCTCAACCATGGTTACCACCGTTCAGAAACCCCTGAATGACTAATATAAAAAAGAATGCCAACAAACCATGGTCTCAACCATGGTTACCACCGTTCAGAAACCCCTGAATGATTCGATTCCCCAACGTTAAAACAAACAATAAAATGGTCTCAACCATGGTTACCACCGTTCAGAAACCCCTGAATGATTCGATTCCCCAACGTAAATATATATATATATATATAAAGAACAACAAACCATGGTCTCAACCATGGTTACCACCGTTCAGAAACCCCTGAATGATTCTATTCCCCAACGTAAATATTAAAACAAAATACCAACAAACCATGGTCTCAACCATGGTTACCACCGTTCAGAAACCCCTGAATGATTCGATTCCCCAACGTAAATGCCAACAAACCATGGTTTCAACCATGGTTTCAATGTTTGTCCAAAAGGGGGACCCGAGCCCTCTCCCCTCTCCGTGGCGCAAGACTTTGACTTTGAGATCGAGCTCGTGGATTTGTCCAGCTTTTCGTGGGCTTTTCGTTGGGAAAGGGGCACTTCTCGACAGAAAAACTAGGGAGTTCGAGCCGCTGAGTTGAGGCTTTATTGAACAAACCTTCCAAAAGCATTGAGAGTTCCACCTTTTTGCATTCATCACCACATTGTGAGGTATGTCCATGTCCCAATAAACAACCATCGACATGATAAATCGTGCCCCGACCAGTGCTCCGACTCCAACAAAATTCCATCGGGCCCCGACAATTGAAAGCTGCTCTCGGAGCCCTCGTCCTTCGGATTTCGACGGATTTCGGGGGGTGATCCAAGGATGACTCCAACGGCAATGTTGGACTGATCCGTCACTGACACCAGAACAAACATATTGCTTGTTGTTGGCCAAGCTAGCCACTTTGGTAGGTGTCCTCAGTGAATCGAACTGTATTGTTTGCTTCATCGTAAATTTCAATTGTGGTTCCTGCACCAGGTTTTTGTTGTCCGGGGTGACACCAGAAATTAGCTGAACAACCCCCTCTTGGGGGCGGGCATTTGATGTCCCGGAACTCAGGATTTGTACTAGTTGCTCGCAAGAGCAACCAACATGTGCCTGCCTCTATATACATGGGATTGGGCTCCCTTTTCGCAAAAAAAAAAAAAGAAAAAAAACTTTGATGTCCAGCATCCAACAAGACACCCCCCAAACCCACGTGCCACCAGCACCCGACAACCCACTGCCAAAACGGGACAAGGGGCCTAGCATGGCACGGCCTGTCACATTCTTTTCTCGAGACTTGGCATCAAGCGAAACCCGAAAAAGTCTCAACATTGGCATCAAGTTCCCGAACACTGCCTTGCAGTTCTGGCCAAAACCCGCTGCCCCAAAGCCAGTCATGCGCCAGAGGCTTTAGCCGATCTCTGGAACCATCCCGTCCTCCCAGGAAATCCAGAAAGTCTTCGCCATGGCGGGGCAAAAGTGTCTGGTTCTATGGGGGGGGTGATCCAAAGGTCCGATGAACATGGGATTACCATTAGGGAAAACGACTAAAAAGATGATATGCCCTACTTCATAGGAAAAGTTAGCCATGCTCATTTGGGGCCAGGAATATTGATCGACCCCCATCTCAATCCTCTGACCACAAAACCATTTGCAACGCATGGAGCCTACCCGTGTGTGACCAAAAGAGCATATGAAAACCTCGTAGCTGTTTCCCGAACGGATCTGCTTTGAGCCAAATCCGCGAGGCCGGCAGCAGCAGTTGCCGCACAAGGAAAAGCACTGGCAGACAGTATGCATGTGTGTGTTTGTGTGCCCCACACACACTTTTCAATTGGGCCCTTGTGATATAACAATTTGTCCCCCAATCTTACAGCCCCAACATACATGCTCTGGGCGCTTTGCTTTTCTCGATGGGTTGATTGCCAGTAGCAGGAGTTCATTCCCAAGGATCATTGAACTGTTCATAGATGTCTCTCTCTCTCTCTCTCTCTCTCTTACTCTCTATCTATGCATATATACATATACATATATTGTATACGTTGCGTGTGTACAGTATTCGTATAAGGGGTGCGTATGTTTACATAGGACACACATCCACAATTGCATATTGTGAATCGACGAATCCAGCTGTCCAGGTCATACTCTTGTGGTTGGTGCGCGTGCGCCTGTGCACATCTGCCCCAGTATTTCCATCTGATCTTGCACTGCTCGCTTGCTGAAGCCATGCTGAATGAAGCCCCTGCCACAACAGCCAAGCAGCGCAGCCCGGCTCCAGCCCTTTCCGTCCTCTGCAGCCACCACAGCAGCAAGCGCGCCAACAAGAAAAGACCTTGCACCAGGTGCCATGACAAAGCTACGGCCATTGAATGATCAAAAGCTGATTTACCAGGGACGGATCCTCAACATCAGCAGGTATTTGAGTGCTTTTCAACTGGCCCACATGTATCCTTCAAGGGGACACTGATTGCACCCGGCATCTTGCGCTCAATGTCTTCAATTTCACCCAGCCCAGGGATGACAATGCCAAATTCATCCTCCGACGTACCCTGGATGAAGAAAGTCCCGTGTCCGGCTGCGCCTGTTGCCATGCCTGCCTGCACGGTCCCAAGTTCCAACATAAACCAGATCTTCAGTCTGACTCCAAGAGTCTTCCTTAAAAGTTGGTGGGTTCAACTTGCCCATGCTTAGAAGACACATCCGCCAGAGGCAAACCGCCGGAAGGCCGGCATCTTGCCAGGGGAAGCCCTTCCCCGTTGCCAGGCCTCATTTTTCGCGGCAGGCGAAGGCCTCGGAGTGCAGTCCAAACCGGCGTGAGGTGTCACTTGGATCACAAGGTTCCCCTGTGGCGCACCAAAAAAACCGCCCAGTTGCGGAGTCAAGTACCCTTTGGGTCCTTTGGGTGTACAAGGGAAAAACCGGGCATGGTCAAAAGCCGATTTTCAATTTGGAGACAAACCATGCCGCGGGTTGCTCAACATGGGGCTGGGGAATTCCCCAATCCGTGAGACACCACTGCAAGGGAACGACCCCAGTCAACAGAACAAAGCAAAAACAACTACCTCCCCAAATGGACACGAGGGACCCCCTCCAAAATGGAAAACCGTTTCTCAATCAGCCGGATTAACCTGCAACCATGACAAGCTACCCGCTTCACAACTTCGGACTTCAGCCACGCTGCCGCACCGCAGCCCTGCCGAAAAGCGTAAGCGCAGCTCTTGAGTCTAAGCCGAAAGGAAGCGGCGCTCGTCCTGATGGTTTGGACAAGGTCGGGCTGCCTTCCCCATAACCAAAAAGTTTCCCGGGGTTCAAATCCCACCAAGGTGCAGTTCACGTAAAAGAACAACACCTTGTATGATCGATACAGCTACCAAGAGGAATGTGATAAAGCCATGGAACGGTATGTGTCAATCAACGCTCCAGAGCTGGCGGTTCCGGAAGGCATGTGTTGGTGCCTTGTGATGACAGATCCCACGGGGAGGCCTTGTTCCACCTGGATGCACTCTTCTGAAAACTAAAGACGATCTAAGTTATTCACCAATTGTGTAGAGGACGTATTTTTCTGGGGTTCCCTGAAAAGGACCGACCTGGCAAAACCGATCAGACACGTTCCCACCTTCAATGTGTGTTTCCTATGAGATAAGACAAAAGGGAAAAAGAAAACTAAACATGGTTTTCCCTACGCTCAAATGTTTAATGTAGATCCAAAGTGTCACTTGATTACCTTTGATGAGCAAAGACTGATGCCATGGGTCCGCAAATTTGTCCAGCCTGCAGGCACTCCAGGGGAGGTTCCGTTGAGTTTTCCCACATGTCATGAGCACGTACAGCCATGAATTGAAAGGAGCGCAGAAAACACGTCACGGGAGCACTGGGCAGGGGGTGCAGGTTTAGCACCTGGTCCTTGCGCAGGAGTCCGCAAAGCGGGCGCGCGCGGAAGGGAAGCCGGCCAAGCCGCGAACAATGCGGAGGAAGCCAGCGATAGCGATGTGAACTGAATCGCATCCACGCATCTCACTTGCAACATGGCGCTGCAGAAGCAGTACAAAAGCTGGAAAAAGTCTTGCAAGAGCTAAAAGAGGACGCAAACATCCTGGAAGCATTCGAAAAGTCTGCACAGAACCAAAATTCGCGTACAATCTTCAAAAACAGGCCGGTGAGTGGGAAAAAAAAGCACTAACCGGGGTCACCAACCGGGCCGATCCCTGAGAAATACCAACGAAAACCGCTCCGCCGGTTCGTGGTAAGTAATTTGTTATTTAAAAAAATGAAGGTTTCAAGTTGTTTTTAACAAAAAACCTTGGCTACTAACCGGCCGAGCGGTTTTCGTTGGAATTTTTCATCGGCCCGGTTAGTGACCCCGATGCGTGTTTGTTCCCACTAACCGGTCTATGTTTAAAGGTTTTTGAGCAAAACGCGCCATAATCAAGGGCCTTTTAAGCTAAAAACGAACAATGTTCGAGCGAAATGATTTTGTTTCATCAAAAACATGACAGGTTGCCAAACTCATCGCTTTTCATTTGTATCGTTGAGCACCATAAGCACGTGTTGTTTAAGCTGACAAAACAGACAATGTTCGTCCGAAAACGTTTTGTAGGGCGGAATGCAAATCGGGACAAAACAAACAAGTTTTGCGCACCGCGGTATACTTTAGTCCATCCTTGTATTTCTGTACTATTTCCCGCAAATATATATCTGTGAAAAGGTCCCGCGCACTGCTCCTAGCCTCAAACCACAAAGAACCCTGAACGGGTTGTTGGGGTCCGCTATGCGAACCCACGTGGGCTTGCTGGTGCTCGGAATGCGTGGGATGTCGTCAAGGCAGTGCACGGCGCTGCCTGCGACCTCCAAAATTTTGGAACCGGCCGAAAGCCAAAGGCTAGGTAGGCCGCTGCTCATTTTTAAATCTTTATTTACAGATTTTCTGAAAGGCTGGATGGAGTGCATGGAGCCTGGTGGGCTATGAAGGTCGGCGTACAGCGGCGCCATCCAGGATCGCAAATGCAGGGCTATGCTGGTGGCCCAGATGAGCAACCCAATGCATTGCTCCAGCGTTTTGCGAAGGACCTTTCTTTTGCCCCAGGAGGGCCGCGATGAGTTCCTCTAGCTTGACCAGCTTGGTCTGCATGAGTTGGATGGTATCGTGGGCGAAGTTAATCTCCCAACCGCACCTGGAACTGTGCCTTTTTCCAGGAGATTGGTGCGGCTAGAGCACAGAAGAATAAAGCCACCAGGGCGAACATCTCTGGCGCTTGGGCACGGAGCAGGGCGCATAGAAGATCATCCACAAACAGGAATGTGTTGTGCGGCTGCCACGCGAGCAGGCCGTGAGCAGGAAGGCGCCCGTGCGCTGCCTTGGAAGACGAACAGCAGAAGGCCGTGCTTGAAATCAATGCTGGCACCCAGGAAGGCTCCTGGTGTGTCACCCGCTTGGGTGGCCAACGCCAGGTCGGAAGCCATCGGAAGGCTAAGGCGCTCTGGCAGGTAACATCTAGTGTTCACCTGACACACCGTGCAATCAAGAACCAAGCGAGGCTCTTTGTTTTCAGCGAAGACCACATTAATTTGCCAACTGCGACACCTAAGGGCCATTTTTGCTGCGCCTCTGCGATTGTCAAGTCGGTGGCGACGACCCAATTATTACGATTTCCGGCTCCTCTTCTGCTGTTTTCCAGTTGCCTTCGCCAATTCGGGCAGTGCGGGGAGGCTTCGCCGGCCACTGCCTGCGACATGGCATAGGTCCTAAGGCGCCTGTAGGCACGCCTTCTTGCAGAAAAGGCAGCAAAGCCAGGTCTGGGTCCCCCCATGACTCTGCGAGTGCAATGCGGACGGCTTCGGTGCACTTCCGCTCCGTTAAGGGTGAATCTGAGCTCCCCTGGCTAACATGCGCCATTATGCGTGGCACCATGCCGCGCTCGTGGAGCCAGCTTGGGGCGGGTGGTCGGGGTTCGGGCAACACCAGTCTGCAGTTGAATGCATGCCTGCACCGTCGCAGACAGGAAGTCGGCGCGGCGCGAGACTGAGCAAGGCCCGGGTGAGGGTTGTTTGAACCTGGGTTCAACCTGGGTTCGACCCGGGCCGGCCGGGGGGGGGGGGGAGAACAACAACAACAACTCACAAACCTGGGTTGAACCCGGGTTGAACAACCCGAACCTGGATTGAACATGGGTTCAATAACCCTCAACCTGGGTTCAACTTGGGTTCAACCTGGGTTCAACCTGGGTTCAACCTGAGTTCAACCTGGGTTGAACATGGGTGTAACCTGGATTGCGTAAACTTGACATAACCTGGGCGCAACCTGTGTTGAACCCGGGTTTAACCTGGGTTAACCTGGATTCATCCTTGGCTGCACCTCAAGGCGCGAAAAGAAGCCGCTTCCTTGAGGGAGGGCTTGAAGGGAGCGTGCGGTGCCTAAAGAAGAGCCTGGCCCACCACCCTTTGGTGAAGGGGGGCTTAAGCCCCCCCGA